CTCATGATCCTCCTCTCTCAGTCTCCCAAGCTGCTGGGATTACAGGTGTGTGCAACCATACCCGGACCCAGGCCTTTTTATTTTGAGAGAAGATCTCACTAAATTGCTCAGGCTGGCCTTGAATTTGTGATCCTCCTGCCTCCGCCTCCCTTGTAGCTGGGATGAAGAGCATGCACCACTGAATCTGGCCTCCTAGTTTTGCTAAGAGATTGGATGCATGCCCATGGATCCTGGAGCCCTCCTTGTTACTCTTTGGGAAGAGGCTGCTAGAGAATGAAGCCAGAACAAAGGTGCAGAGAGCTGAGAGTAGGGTCGTGTCATATTTCTGAATTATCCTTGGAGTACTTAGAGCCAAGAGGGCTAGATCTCCCATGGATTTTTTCAATGACTAATAAATTAGCTCTTTCACCCTTAACCCAAGTAGAAATGGGCTTCTGTCTTTTGAAACAAAAACATCCTTTACTAGTAAGACTAGAGGAATGTAGAGGAGCAATTGTTCACTTATTATAGAACATTTTAATAATATAATTGTGACAACAGACACAGAATTGCCTTAGAATCTAGATGGGAGGACCTCACCCAACATGAGAGATTTGGGAAAAAGATCCAAAGAACAGGAGCCTTAGTCTCAGTCATACAGGAAGATGGGCATTGTTTAGATACATGGACATCTTCTTCCAGGAAAAAAAAAAAAAAACATATAAAAATAAGATGAAATTCGTTAAACATAATATTTTTTATGCAACTTTTATTTTTTTTGCAGGGTTGGGAGTGAAACCTAGCACCTCATACATACTACAGGCAAGAACTCTACCAATGAATCATACCCCTAGACCCCAAATATTTTACTTTTAGTTTTTTGCATTTCTGGGGATCAAGCTCAGGGCCCCCAGCACATTAACATGTGTTAACAAACACTCTACTGCTGACCTCTACCCAGCCCGCCAGAATAATATTTTTTTTAAATGTTAATATTCCATTAAAGAATTATTTGAACCTGAGCTGACTTACTGAAAAACTATTTGGTGCTCAAAAGGGGAAATTTATATTTTATCAGAAATTAATACATGTGGGGCATCTCATCCCTTCATAATGCCATATAATTTCTGCTAGTCCCAGACACACCTTTCTCACTTTTAAAGAATTTCATATAATTAAGTGTACCTTTCCCCCCCACAGCCTCGCCAACACTTGTTTTTGTATTCTTATGACTGCCATTCTGACCGGAGTGAGATGAAATCTTAGAGTAGTTTTATTTTCACTTCTCTAATTGCTAGAGATGATGAATATTTTTTCATATGTTTGTTGATCACTTGCATTTCTTCTTCTGTGAAGTGTCAGTTCAATTCCTTTGCCCATTTATTAATTGGGTTACTTGGGTTTTTTTGATGTTAAGTTTTTTTAGTTCTTTATATATCCTGGAGATGAGTGCTCTAGCTATTCCACTCTTTGGTTTATACCCAAAGGATTTTTAAGATCACCATACTACAGTGACACAGCCACATCAATGTTTATAGCAGCTCAATTCACAATTGCAAAACTATGGAACCAATTAAGATGTCCTTCAACAGATGAATGGATAAAGAAAATGTGGTACATATATACAATGGAATATTACTCCGCCTTAAAGAAGAATGGAATTATGGCATTTGTAGGTAATGGATGGAATTATGGCATTTGTAGGTAATGGATGGAGTACATCATGCTAAGTAAAATATGCCAGTCTCCAAAATCCAAAAGCCAAATGTTTTCTCTGATAAAGGGATGCTGATCCATAGTGGGGCAGGGTGATAGGGTTTGTGTAGAGGGGATTGAGGGGAGGGTTGGGGCTGTGGGGATGGAAAGGATGGTAGAATGAAACAGAAATTATTATTGCACCATGTACAGACAGAAGAATGAGAAGTTGTGCTCCCTTTGTATACAGTATGTATACAAATGTCAAAATGCATTCTACTGTGTAACAAAGAAACAAAGAAAGAAAGACAGAATTCCATATAAAAAACATACATCCATAAGAGGATAGAATCTATAGCAATTGTTCAAAACTTGAGTTTATGAGAATCCCTTAAGAGAGTGAAATTACAGTCACCCTACCTCTGACTGACTCAAACTCAAAAAGAGGTCTGGTGTTTCATTAAGGCTCCTCATGTGACTTCTCTGTGTAGTCAGTTTTGGGGTTCACTGAATCTGAAGAAAGGGAAAAGTATGACAATAGAAAGCACCAATATTTTGAAAATTTTAAGTCTCATAACTGCAGCTTTATAACTTCATTTGCAAAACAGCAATAATTAACGTTCCCTTAGCATTTGTGGTTATTTGTTAGATGTCAAGCCAGATGTTATATCGTGTGCTTGTATTAGGTGCTTTCCCTAGTTCCTAAAGTGAATGTTTAGGTTCTTATTTATATATTATATATATAATATATAAATATTATATATAAATATAATATATAAATATTATATTATATATATATATAACTTTTCAAATATGTGTGTTTAATGCTGTACATTTCTCTTGAAATAATGCTTTCATTTCATCCTAGAAATTTTAATTAGTTGTATTTTCATTTAGTTCAAAATATCTAAAATTTATTTATTTTAAGACTTAGTTTTTGATCCATGAGTCATTGCGAAGTTTGTGTTTAATTTCCAAATATTTGGGAATTTTCCAGTTCTTTGTATTATTGATTGATTAGTTGTTTAACACTCATTAGGTATTTCTGGTTTAATTTCATTGTCAACTGAGGACATATTTTGTATATCTGTTCTTTCAAAATGAGTTGCGTGTTTTATATCTTGAGAAAAGTGTGTATTATTCTGTTGTATGAAATACCCTATAAATATCAGTTAGATCAATTTGATAGCGCTATTCAAGTCATTGTACCCTTACTGATAATCTATCTACTAGAACTCTCATTTATTGCAGAGATATGAAGGATATGAAGATCTCCAGTCATAATTGTGGATTAGTCTCCTTCCTTTTTTAGTTCTACTAGTTTTGCTCTTATATATTTTGGATGCTCTGTTTTTGGGTGCATACACATTTAGGATTATTAAATCTTTACTAAATGCTTCCTGTTTTGGTCTGCTTTTGGGACACTGTGATCAAAAGACAGGAAAAATTAATTTTGGGGCTCACAGTTTCAGAGGTCTTAGTCCATACTTGGCCAACTCGATTGCTCTGAGCTCCAGGTGAGGCAGGACATCGTAGTGGAAGGGTGTGGAGGAAGAAAGCAGCTCAGAACATGGCACCAGGAAGGGGGGGGGAGAGAGAGAGAGAGAGAGAGAGAGAGAGAGAGAGAGAGAGAGAGAGAATATTCTACTCATCCAGAAAAAAATGTATGCCCCAAAGGCATGCCCCCCAATGACCAATCTCTAGCCACACCCTACCTGCCTATGTCCATCACCCAGTTAATCCCTATTAGTGCATTAACACACTAATTCGATGAAGACTCTTATAACCAATCAGTTCACCTCTGAACCCTATTGCATTGACTCACACATGAGCTTTTGGGGGACACCTAGTATCTAAATCATAATACTTCCTTTATCACTATATAATCTCCCTTTATTCCTGATAATCTTCTAAATTCTGAAGTCTTTATCTAAAAGTAGTATGGTTATGCCAGCTTTCTTTTAATTCATGTGGGCTTGTTGCATGTTTTTTCTATCCATTTGCTTGTTAGTCATGCGAGTTTTGTATTTAAAGGGTCGTTTCTTGTGTTTTAGCCACTCTGACAATGCTTGTCTTTTAATGTGTTTAAAGCCTTCACGTTTAACAGATACATGAGGTGGGATGGAAAGGGAGAGAAAAGGGAAATTGCATGGTAATGGAGGGAGACCCTCATTGTTATACAAAATTACATATAAGAGGTTGTGAGGGGAATGGGAAAATAAACAAGGAGAGATATGAATTACAGTGGATGGGGTAGAGAGAGAAGATGGGAGGGGAGGGAGGGGGGATGGTAGAGGATAGGAAAGGTAGCAGAATATAACAGTTACTAATAGGGCATTATGTAAAAATGTGGATGTGTAACCGATGTGATTCTGCAATCTGTATTTGGGGTAAAATTGGGAGTTCATAACCAACTTGAATCTAATGTATGAAATATGATATGTCAAGAGCTTTATAATGTTTTGAACAACCAATAAAAAAAATTTAAAAAAAAAAGAAAAAAAAAAAGAAAGCCTTCACGTTTAAAATGTTTCTTGATACAGCTGAATGGAGACCTACTAATCTACCTCCACCATCAAAATAGCCCTATACCACCTGCCATATTATAACAGTGTTATAATAATAATTTGTGCATCTCATTCTTTATAGTTTAGCTGTTGGTTTACTTTTCCATGGACTATAGTCACCAATACATTTACTATTATTGTTTTTATCAGTTATAGGTTAATAAAGAATTTAAAAAGGGAAACATTTTGTTCTACCTTCTCGGTCCTTTCTCCTGGGCTCTTTCTTTCTTAATGTGGATATGGATGATTTTAATATATTCATTTTGCCTTTGGGTTTCTGAAGTTTCAATATAATATGCCTAAGTGTAGATATTTTAAAAATTTATCCTGGTTGGTCTTCTCTGAGCCTCTTGGATGTGTAGTTCGGTGTGGGTCATTAATTTTTTAAAAAAATCTTTAGCCATTATTACTTCAAATATTTCTTTTGCTCTGTTAATTCTTCCTTTTCCTTCTAATATTCCTATTGCATGCATATTACACCTGTTGAAATCGTCTGAACATTCCATTCTTTTTCTTTTTTTAATTTTTTTTCTGAACATTCCATTCTTTTTCTTTTTTAATTTTTTTTTTTTCATTTTTGTATTTTGGTTTGGTAAATTTCTCTCAACTTATCTTCAGGTTCGTGAATTCCATTTTTATCCATGTTAATAGAAAACAATTACTGAATAGATCATCAAAAATATTCTTCATTTCTGTTATATTGTTCTTGGTTTCTACCATTTACTTTATTTATTTTTTTAAATTATTCTTATTTTTTAGTTGTAGGTGGACACAATACCTTTGTTTATTTTTATGTGGTGCTGAGGATCCAACCCAGGGCCTCACACATGCTAGGTGAGTGCTCTACCACTGAGCCACAACCCCAACCCCTACATTTACTTTTTATTCTTTCTTAGAGTTGTACCCTTCTGCTTATATGACTCATCTGTTCTTTTTTTTTAGATATGCATGACAGTAGGGTATATTTTGAATGGTGCAACCCATTACAATTTTGATCCCATTCTTGTGGTTGAACATGATGTGGAGCTATACTGGTCATGTATTCATATATGAGTATAGGAAAGTTATATATTGAATGCTTTGAATTTTTCCATTAAAAGCCTTAACATATGAATATAAAATAACATATATAAAATATAAAATATTTTATATAACATATAAAATAATTATGAATCATAATTATTTTAAATTTTCTGTGTGTTAATTCTGGGATTTTGTGTTTTAATGATTTCTTCACATCTTCAGAATGTGTTTTTTGTCTTGTTTTAGCAAGCCTCAAAATTTTTCCTTTAGGTGAAAGGCAGAAAATGACATGCTACACTTGTAATTCCAGCGACGGGAGACTGAAGTAGGAGTATTGCAAGTTCGAGGCCAGCCTCAGCAACTCAGTGAAGTTCTAAGCAACTTAGTGCGATCTTGACTCAAAAATAAATAAATAAATAAATAAAATAAAAAGGGACTTGGGATGCAGCTCCATAGTAAAGTGCCCCTGAATTCAATTCCCAGTACCAAAGGAAAAAAAAGAAAGAGAATTACATACTCAGTAATAGGAACTGAGGTAAATAGGCCTTTCATGTGAGAGTTTGTGTTTATCTGGTTCAGAGTCAGCTTGTAGTTATAGACAATAGACTTCAAATTCCTCCATTGCTTCCCCTGTTTTTAGTTACTCTGCTATGTTTGGGTTTCCCTAAGAACTCCTCCTCACATAGCTCTTTCAGCTGTAATATGATGTCATTGACCAGAGTCTTGATGTAGGAGTAAGTCATGGGGGTGTGGAAGTATTCTATAATCCTATGAGTAGATCTCAGTTTTCAATGGGTTTGTGTCCCTGGGCTATGGCTTTTAAAGTTTTGTGAGTTTTTTTCTTTCTTCTTCTTCTTCTTCCTTTTCTTTCTTTTTTTTTTTTTTTGTACTGGGGATTAAACCCAGGGGGGCACTTAACTGCCCACGGAGACACACCCCAGCTCTTTTAATTTTAATTTTTTTATTTAGAGACAGGGTCTCACTGAGTTGCTTAGGGTCTCGCAAAGTTGCTGAGGCTGACTTTGAACTTGCTGTCCTTCTCCCTCAGATTATAGTTGTGTACCACCACACCTGGCGTGTGTGTGTGTGTGTGTTTTGTTGTTGTTGGTTTTTGGTTTTTAGCTTTTTTTCCCTCTCTCTTTTTCCTTTTAGGTGGGAGAAGAAGACTAGAGGATATGCAGCTGGAGAAATACCCCTTTCTCAAGGAGGATAAGGCTCTGGGACAGACTTTCCTCTGGGTGGCTTGTGTTGTAGAGAAGGCTTTTGGTGCATCTCATGCTCATCACACTGCTAGAGCCATAAGAGGATTTTTTTTTTTTTAATCTCTTTGTTGTGAGTACCTGGTAAAATTTCTGGAGATAAAACCAGAAAAATGTGCTCCCCACCCACAGATGACAGCCTCCAGGAATTTCTCACTCTTAAGCCAGTTCCCAACCTTCAGCCATTCATGCAGATGGTCATCCAGTACCTCTACCAGCTCTGTTAGTCTCTGCCAGCTTCTGCTCTGGGTAAGCAGATCCCAGTGACTTCTTTCTTCTGTTTATTCCCATTTGGACAGTTGGCAATCTCCAAGAAGTGCCTTCGAATTCACAATCTATTCGGCGATTTCTTATTGCAAGGATGGGAATGCTGATTTCTAAGTTCTTTACCCTTTGGAGCTGAAACCAAAGCCACCTCATTCATATTTTAAAATATAAATTGATAGACCCAGGAAGTAGCCATTCTGGGTAGACTTAGAAACTGAAGATCAGTGTAGTTAACTGACTTTCCCAAGTTCTGATGGTTAGTAAGCTGGGACCAGGGTACTTCAGCCTCATTCTTCTCCTTCTCTATTCCACGGGTCACATTTCCTCCTGCAAATCTTCACATATAAATGGAAGAAATTATGTCATGTGGTTCAGTTTGCTATCCAGAGCAATCTAGCTACATATAAATTATTTCTGGGTCTGCTTTTAGTAGGTAAAAGATAGATAGTCAGACACAGATGGTGGGGGTGGAGGTAAGATAGAGAGGAGGATGAGGAGGGGTAAAGGAAGAAGAAAACTTTAACCCTTATACATAGACTTTCTAGTCTGTGGGCCTAAGAAAGATTCTATTCTCTATCTTTTCCAATTTACATTAATCTTATGTTTGAGAGAGATTTTTCTGATTACTTTGCTGACACCACATTTTCCCTGGATTCACCGTATTTTCAGGAGCTGGAGGTGGGAGGGGAGAGGAAAGAGAAGGTGATGTCATCTGATTCTTTTCCTCCACTTCTTACTAGCTATGTCTGACCTTGGGCCAGTAGCCAAACTTCTCTGAGATACCTATTCTCCTCAATAAGATAATTCAACTTTCTTTTGTAAGAATCAAGGATTTTAGGTAAATATGTGATACATGTATTAAAACTTATTGTTGTTACTTATTGTTATTAGCTAATATTAACATTCTAGGCCTTACCTTTGTACAGTTTCTGGTGGACACATCTCGGCAAGAATAACCTCCTTCATGCAAATGTGATCCCGAGGACACCTTATTTATCCCCCTCATCTACCAACTCCGACCCTTCCATTTTTAAATCCTCTGGTAAATGAGGACTTTTCAAATTGATTACTGTATGAGCCTGCTAGGGCTGTAATCACAAAATTTGACACCTGGGTAGTTTATACAATAGAAGTTTATTTTCTCACAGTTCTGGAGGTTGGAAATTTGAAATCAAGTTGGAGATCAGCCCTGTTGGCAGTGTGGGTTCTTCCTGAGCATTATGAGGGGAAGATCTGCCCCAGGTCTTTCTCCTGGACTTGTGTGTCCTCACATGGTGTCTTCTCTCTATGCAGATTTTTTTTTTTTTTAAAGAGGCATGGTCTATATTGGGTTAGGGTGAACCTCAATGACCTCCTTTTAACTTTAATACCTTTGGACCTGTCTCCCAATTAGGTCACATTCTAAGATAAGCAGAGTTAGGACTTCAAAAAAAGAATTTTTTGGAGGGGGACACAATTCAACCTCTAACAATGACCTTGCTACTATTTCCTCTGTGCTACGACTGCCCATTTTTCTTTCTGTCAGTGCTTCTTAGTTTGAGAGCTCTCCACATCCCCTGTAAGACTCTCACTTGCTCCACACACCTTTCCCATTTTAGAAGTTTCGTTCCATTTAGTCCCTGCCTTTGGGTTGTCATTCCCTTTCCTACTCTTTCTTGATCCACGGAGGGGAAATTTTGTCACTCGCTGGCTGTTCTTGTGCTCTTGCTGTGTTTGTCTTGGCTTTTGAACAAATTCCAAAAATAATCCTTGCAACCTGTAATTTTTATCTCCACGTTGTCTTTTGTTGTGCTGTGCATTGCTGGAACCGTGACAGAATTCTCAGAGTAATTCCAAATCAGCATATATTCACGACAGCTTCATAAAGCTTATTTTATCCTTAGGTAGATGCATCTGAAACTTTGCCTCTCTCTCAGTTCTCATAGCTTTCAGCTTTAGAGCTAAAGCCACTTTGGGAGATGACATGGAATTCATGGATGAAATTGGCTTTGGGAAGCTTTCTTTTGTATTTGCATTGAATTCATTTCAATCCAGCCAATATGTTTTGAGCACCTTCGATGCTTTAAATCCTGGGCATCAAGTAATTCCAGAAGCTCTTGGTCTAGAAGAGAGACACAAATACTGTGATAAGTGATATTCAAATAGTGGATATAAAATGCTATGGGAGCTCCTGTTGTTAAGTTTTAGATTTTATCTCATTTTGGAGATTACTTTAGTGCTTTTAGATTTTCAAGTTTTATCATGGCTGTTGGCCTATGGTATCAGTGATTTGACTTGACTTCATGGTTTTCTAGTGTTCTTAAGATGTATATAAAAATCCTCCATGTGGACTATAGGGGCTTCTGCAACCTGATCCCTGAGCTTGGGTGATCTTATTCCTAGGATGATGTTTCCCTGCAATACAGATGGTCTTTCCATGAGTCAAGGCTGAATGTGCATTACTCAGTTCAGGACCTAAACACGGGCTGTTTTCCTGAAATTGCTTGTCCACCCCTCTTGGTCAACACCTATGCTTCCTCTGGCCTCAAGAATAAAATCCACTTACTCCAAAGAGACTCTGCTATATTCCTCTCTGCCCACCTCAATTAATTCCTCTGAATTATTTTCTTAGTCACTCTGTACATTTTTTCCACACTACTTTCAATGCTCTGTGTCTAGTTATTTGTGTGACTAGTTCTTTAATGTCTATGACCTTCACTGGATTACAAGATCCCCAGGGCTAGAGAAGTCTCTTTCTTTGGCTCATCCTTCTGTGTCCAGTATGGAGTCCAAGACAAAATGGGATCTGTTGTAATCTCTGCTTTTACTTTATCATGTCCTTCCTCATATTCTCTGCTTACACCCAAATCTCTTGCTTTGTGCCATAGTCACATCCTAAGAGCTCAGTACTCACAGCTTTCCTAAGTTCTCATAGCTTTCACATCCTAAGATCACTTGATCTTCTACTTGTGCGGCTCAAGATGTATTTTCCAAACCCCGTTCACTGGACATAAGTGACGAAATGAGTTCCTGTGCTGATATTTGTATTTTTCCTACTTTTCAGAAATATATACTCTACTGAGATAAACAAGAAAAATCATCTGAAATTAAGTTAACTCTTTGTAGGCATTATGCCTACAATAAGACAATGAGAAAATGATAGTACCTGTTTGGGATGACCTAGATTCCCCTCAGAAAGCAGATTTCATTTCATGCAAATTCTAAAAACTTATTGGTGTCTGTTTAGAGTGTTCTTGTGAAGATTCTGCATGAGATTCTGTCTGCCTCATAGTGGAAAAAAAGTGCCGTGGTTGATTAGCAATATCTATTTTGGATTTAGAGTTAGAGGCAGAACACATACTGCCCTTATCCTTACACGAGGACTAGAAGCTGGGCTAACTTACCAGATTCAGGAAGTGAAAACTATGCTCAGTATTTTCAGCAGATATTGAGTGAAGTGGATCCCTATTCCCATTCTTTTAAATTATGTATAATTTACAAATAGTAAAATCCACACTCTGTAAGTTAGAATTCTGGGAGTTTTCATGAATATATACAGTTTTGTAACCACCACACAATCTAGATATAGGAGAGTTCTTTTGCTCTCCCAATTCTCCCATGCCCTTGTGTACCCATTTTCTTCCCTCAGCCCTTGATAACCACGAATTTGTTTTCTAACCTTATAGTTTGCTTTTGCAAGAATGTCATATAAATGGAATAAAAAACTATGTAGCCTTTTGAGTCTGTCTTCTTTCATTTAACACAGTGAATTTGACAGTCGTCTATATTATTGTGTGTGTATAAGGATAAGGGCTGTATGTGTTCTGCCTCTTGCCTTCATCAAGAAATCAATGAAATAGATTTTTATGTATCTACTTGCTATAATTTATATCTTGAATGCTCCCTAAAGACCCAGGTGTTAAAGGCTTGGTCCTCAGGGTAGTACTACCAGGAGATAGTAGGACCTTTAAGAGGTGGAGCCTAGTAGGAGGTCTTAAAAGGCCTTGCGTTTTCTTCCTTTCTTACCTTTTGCTTCTCAGCTATGAGGTGAGCAGTTTTGTTCTGACATACGCTCCTGCTATCATGCATTCCTCACCACAGACCCCCAAAGGAATAGGGCCAATAGATTATGAACTGGACCTGCAAAATGGTGAGGCTAAACAAACTTTCTCTTTATAGCATTATCTCAGGGATTTTGTTGAAGTAACAGAAAGCTGACTAACATACTACTGGAAATGATTGTTGTATATATTGACATTATAATTGCTAATATGCTTATAAATACAAAGAAATACATGCAAGCCTGGTCTTTTCCCCTTCTGAATGTCTGCCTGTCTATCTACCAATCATCTATCTATCTATCTATCTATATCTCAAATTAAGTTATAAAACAAATTCTAACTAAGTGATGAGACATAGTGCATTCTAAAGGTGTTCAGAGGATGAAGAGGTTTTTGCTCACAGTCAGGGGTTGGTGGCATTTGAGGAAACCTTGAGAAGCAGTTAAGACATCCCTTTAGGAAATGTTGAGCATGCCTTGAAAACTTTCTAAGTGTTCTCTTTTGCTTTTGAGGTGTTCATCAAACCTTTCTCATTTCCAGCCCAACCTTATGCCATGCACAAGTAGGAAATGGAATGGTTGGGGGCAGTGAGGTTTTATATTCTTTTCACTGTAGCAAATGTAGATTAACCATATGCTAGTTGTAAGATTCTATGCAATGTGCTCTGGGGAATACTGAGGTGAAGAAGACATGGTTTTACCACTTTATTACTTACTTGTTTATGTCAGGCTTCCCTTTATTCTATCCTGATGTTTCCCTTTTCTCCTTTCCTATTTTGTTTCATAAAGAATTTGAGTCAGTCTCTAAAACTCCATGGAAAATAAATCATTGGAGCAAAGAGATATTATGGACAGGATACCAATTCAGGAGTAAATTTACCTACCTCTCAGGAATGGGTGCTAAATTATTTAGAGATGGACTACAGATTGGGATGTGCATTTTCAGAAGACGAAAGTAAGTAGGGAAACATAATCAGTTAAAAGATCCATGTTGTCCATAAGATAAAGGCAGCCTACCTGTTTAAGGTTTTCATCTTGCTGAGCTGAGAAAAATTTCTCCCTTGGGTCTTTGTAAAGAAAACACTTTTGATTCAGAGAATAACATCCTGGACTCCATCCCAGCAATAAATTCAAGAGGAAAGTTTGCTGTGTGGCTTCTTGCAGCATCCCTCAATGCAAGCCAATATCGGAACAGCAAAGTTCAATTCTGTCAAGTAAATTTGACAACAATCAGAATGATGCCATCCAGATATGCAGCTCTCTGATGGTATGATTTGATCCAAGGGTAAAATTCATCATTTTTAGAGAACAGATGAATAGCATGTCCTTCAGACAATCCTCCATAAATATCTATTCTCATAAGTGGAGTTTTGATAGGATTTGGACAACAGAGAGTTATCTGACAAGTAACTAGAATACATCTATTCACGGTTTCCACTAGCGGCCGATACACATATTTTGACAATGGATCAGACAGAAGGTAGGATGGGATTGTTTATTAAAAATCACAAAGACTATATAAGATGTGTTTGAACAAATGTTAGTTTTCCTTAGTATCAAGGAAATATGCTAGACCTTTAAACATACTCTGTCATTTCAACCTTCTATACTATCCTTCTATTGTAACTTCTATTTTATTCCCAGTTGACAGAGAAGCAAACTATCATTTAGAGGAGTTTAGTGATTTGCTCAGGTTATAAACTTGTAAGTAATAGAGCCAGGTTTCAAAGACTAGGTATCTTTAGACTCCTAAACTGCAAAAATATTTTACTTTTATTTGTTTGAAATATTTTTAACATAAAAATATAAGGTATAATATATTGAACATTTGTGGTCTCAAACCTAGCTTATGTTATAAACTATTAGGAGTAAAGTTTATACCCAAATACATTCTTCCCTGATCTCATTCTCTTCTTCCAAAGCCCCTGTTCCTGAAATTGTATTCATTCATGTGTTTACTTTCTGTTAATATAAAAAATACCTTTGATAATTAACTTATAAAGAGTAAAGATATACTTTGGTTCATGGTTTGGGAGATTCCAGTACATATTTGGTTCCATGGCTTTGGGCCTGTGGGAAAGACAGTACATCATGGTGGGGACATGTGGCAGGGTCACCTCATTATCCAGGAAGCCAAAGAAAACAAGGAAATTTCCTAAATTTGCTGCAAGGGCATGCTCCCAATGACCTAAGAGCCTTCCATTAGGCCCCGCCTCCTATGAGCACTATCTGGGGACCAGGTCTTTAAGAAGTGGGACCTTTGGGGAGATGTTCAAGTACCAAATCATAGCAATTTTCATGACCATTTTTTATATTTATCTATCTCTATGCCCATATCCTGAGACTATTTGTGAGGTTGAATTTAAAGATGGTAAACTAATTAATCTGGTGGAGGAAATTTCAAGGCAGCTCAGCATTCAGGCAGTGGCATGAATATTGCTGGTGGCTTTTAGCCAAGTTTACTATAAGAGTCAGGAGCACAAAGCTGAGCCAAAAGATTTTTGAAAAATTGCAGTTTGGCCAGAAAAGTGGCAGTGAAACTCAGGCTAAGGAAGTTGTGTTTGTTAAAGAGATGTTATGAACTGAACAAAGAGACAATAGGAAAGATGGCTTGAGGGCATTTTAGGGATTGGCAATATCACACCCATCTCAGGTTCAAGGTTAAAAGTAAAAATTCCTTTGAGTAGAGACCCTGGGGGCACCATGCTTGCACAAGGGTACCTAGGAAGTTTTTTCCCTGTGCTCACCCACCTGGGCACTCAGAGGCTGCTGCAGCTGTGGCCCTAGAAGGCTTGGCTACTGCTCAAGAGGGTGGCAGACCATGGCATCAACCATATGATCCTGGTTCTGCAGGATGGAAGGATGGTGGAGTTAGGGATTCATGGAGACTTCCATCAAGATTTCAAGGGAAGGCCTGGGAAGGCCGGCAAAGTGTTGTAGCATTGGAGTCCCTGTGGGCTGTCCCTGTTGGAGCAATATGTGAAGATGGCGAGAGGGAAGCTGAAGCTTTAGGAGAGACTCCTGAGATTAAGATATATCAGTAATAGGGTGTCTGCTAAGGAAAGCTGCAGGAATTAAAAAGAAACAAGCTAAGAGAGAGGCTGCACGGTCTGCAACCAACATGGCCACAGGGGCAGGGCTACACAAGTCCTTTGGAGAGAACCTCACAATGCCCTGTGCCCCAGATGCTGGATATGGAGCTACAGGAAGGACTTGTTTGCCCAGTTGCATTTCAGTCTTACTCTGGTCCCATTCCTTCTTTCTTTGTTCCTCTTTCTCCCTTTTGGAATGGGAATATTTACTCTGTGCCATTATATGTTGAATATATGCAACTTGCTTTTGTTTTTTTACAGGGGATCACCCTGAGAATTTCCCTTGAATCCCAGGAAAGACTTTGGACTTGGACTTTTGGGTCATGCTAAAACCCAAAACTATGAGTACTCTTGGAAATGGACTAAGTATATTTTGAATTGTAAGATGGACATGAACTTTCAGAGGCTGGGGGCAGAATTTTATAGTTCGGATATGTGGGGTCCTGCAAAATCTCATGTGTGACAATGCAAGGATTTTCAGGGGTGAAATGATTGTGTTACCTAGTTGGTAGATTAGTTCATTAACATAGGTTAATGGGGCAGTAACTGCAGTCAGGTAGAGTGTGGCTGAAGGTGACATGCTTTGGGGGTTTTTTATTTTGTTCCGGGTGAGCAGAACTCTCTCTGTTTCCTGTTTGCCATATCTTGAGCTAGTTTCCTCCTTCACACATTGTCTGTCATGCTGTTCTGCCTCCCATTGGATCCAGAGCAAATAGGGTCAGCTGTTTGTTGACTGAGTTCTCTGAAATTATAAGCCCCCAATAAACTTTTCTTCCCTACAGTTTTTTTTCTTCCTTATCAGTTTTTTTTTTCCTTAGTAGAGACGAAAAAGCTAACTAAAACATGGGATGGAAGAAAAAATTTTCAACTCATATATCTGATGGAGAATTGATACGCAGAATATAAATAGCTCCTATAATTCATTAACAGCAAAAGGAGAAGAAAATCCTTCAAATAATCTTGTCTTCAACAAATGGTGCTGGGAAAACTGGAAATCCATAGGCAGCAAAATGAAAATAAACCCCTAGCTCTCATCATGCACAAAACTCAACTCAAAGTGGATCAAGGACCTAGGAATTAATCCAGAGACTCTGTGCCTAATCGAGGAAAAAGTGGGCTCAAATCTTCATCATGTTGGATTAGGCCCCGACTTCCTTAACAAGACTCCTAAAGTGCAAGAAATAATATCAAGAATTAATAAATGGGTTGGACCCAAACTAAAAAGATTCTTCTCAGCAAAAGAATCAATGAGGTGAAAAGAGAGCCTACATTTTGGGAGCAAATTTTTGCCACATGCACATCAGATAGAGCACTAATCTTCTTCAGGACATATAAAGGATTCCAAAAACTTTACACCAAAATAATAATAATAATAATAACAACAACAACAACATCAACCCAGTCAATAAATGGGCTAAGGAGCTGAACAGATAGTTCTTAGAAGAAAATATAAACTCGATCAACAAATATATGAAGAAATATTTAACATCTCTAGTAATTAGAGAAATGCAAATCAAAACTACTCTAAGATTTCATCTCACTCCAGTCAGAATGGCAGTTATCAAGAATATAAACAACAAAAAATGTTAGTGAGGATGTGGGAGAAAAGGCACACTCATACATTGCTGGTGGGATTGCAAATTGGTGTAACCAATCTGGAAAGTATGGAGATTCCTTAGAAAACTTGGAATGGAACCACCATTTGACCCAGCTATCTCACTCCTCGGTCTATACCCAAAGGACTTAAAATCAGCATACTATACTAATGCAGCCACATCAATGTTCACAATAGCTAAAATGTGAAAGCAACCTAGATGCCCTTCAATAGATGAATGGATAAAGAAACTAGGGTAACTAGGTTATATAAACATAATGGAATATTACTCAGCATTAAAAGAGAATCAAATTATGGTATTTGCAGGTAAATGGATAGAGTTGGAAAATATCATGCTAAGCAAAGTAAACCAATCAAAAAAACAAAAAACAAAACAAAGGATGAATGTTTTCTCTGATAAAATGGCTGCTGATTCATAACAGAGGTGGGGCATGAGAAAAATGAAGGAACTTTGATTGATTCCAAAAGGGAGGCAAGGATGGGGAGGGAATATGGGGCCAGGAAAGATGGTGGAATAAGATGGACATCAATACCCTAGGTACATGTATGACTGCCCATATGGTGTGATGCTATATCATGAACAACAAGAGAAATGAAAAGTTGTGCTGCAATTGTGTACAATGAATCAAAATGCAATCTGCTGTCATATATGCCTAAATACATAAATTAATTTAAAAAAGAAAGAGTTAAAAGACTTGAATACACATTCCTCCATAGAAGATATACAAGTGATCAACAAACACATGAAAGGATGCAGATCACTAATTCTTAGAAAATGCAAATCAGAACTGCAATAAGATACTACTTACATCCCCTAACATAACTGTTATTTTTTTTTAAAGCAGATAATAAGTGTTGGTGAGGATGTGGCAAAATTAGAACCCATGTGCATTTCTTGTGGGCATATAAAATGCTGTAGCATGGAAAATGGTGTGGTGATTTTTCAAATAGTGAAAAAACAATTGCTATGTGATTCAGTGATTTTGCTTCTGAGTATATTGCCCAAAAAACTGAAAGCAGGGACTTGAATAAATACTTATACCTACATACATGTCCATAGCATTATTTATAGTAGCTAAAAGGTAAAAGCAACCCAAATGTCTAGTGTCACATAAATGGATAAACAAAATATAGTGGCTATTATGTACAATTTATGTTATTCAGCATTAAAAAGGAAAGTAATTCTGACATCTTCAACATGAATGAAAATTGAAGACATTATGGTAAGTGAAATATAGGTCTCAAATAGTAGATATAAATTGTATACTATGAGATACTTAGATTAGTCATAGTCATAGGGATAGGAAGTAGGATGTAGGTCACCAGGGGCTGAGGACAGCATGGAAGGTTATTGTTTAAGGAGTGAAGGGGGTCATCTAGGTAAGATTAAAAAGCTCTGGGGATGGATGGTTGCTGGCAGCTGGAAGTACGGGCCACCAAATGCCGTACGGGCCACCAAATGCCGCAGTCTGGCTGGGCACAATCAGGAGCCACTTGTCAAAAGAAACTAACTTTATTTTTAGAACCACACACGACAAACAAAATAGTCTCTCAGGAAAAACCCTCAGAGCCTCAACTGCCACCACCGGCTTTCCCCAAGCCTCTCTCTCCCACACAAGCTTCTCTCCACCTCCCACAATCCTCCTGCTCTTGAGGCCGATTGGCTGGGTCACGTGGGCGGAGCCAAAAACGTCCCCCAATGAGCAGCTCCGTGGTCTGAAAGGGCAGGGAAACAGTCCAATGAGCATCACCGCAGAGGAGCCAATCAGCTAGATGTTGCTGGGGCCGAGGAGCCAATCAGCTAGATGTTGCTGGGGCCGCTGTGAGCCAATCATCAGCCAGCAGCTGGTGGTGATAGTTGCACAACAATGTGAATACACTTAGTGCCACTGAGCTGCACCCTTAATAATGGTGCATCTTATGTATATTTATCAAGATAAAATTATATTTTCTTAAAAAACAAGGACCAAGCCCTTAGATATGAAAATAATATTGTTTTATAATCGATTTCCTTTTAAAAATATAGTTTGCTATCATGTTGACTTTTAAGTAATTCTTATGATCTAGAAATATCCTTAATTTAAAAAAATCAGGTAGTCGTCTAGAATTATGTTTCCTTTTTTATGAATGAAATACTTTCCAAAGAATAACACTTCTATTGCCAATAAAAAGACAAGTTCCTTTCTTATGCTCCACCAGTGGCTCCAAATCGTGTCATAATTTAGTTTGCTTCATAGATGATCCTTGATTCTCTGGTTTGTGTTTTTGAAATTAAGTATGTAGGTTAGTTATAGGATTTTGAATTTCATTAAAGAACAGTAAAGAAGATATTATAAAATATGTGTTAACAAAAAAAGGACAATGGACCTGATAACGTTGTGAACTACTGCTCTAGGGTAGATGGTTGGGAATGGAATTTCTGATTATAGGATATGTACATTTTCAAATTTACTAAAAAGAGCCAAATAATTTTCTGTAGAAATTTTAAAAGTCATGCCATCATCGGCATTTTAGAGATTCTATGTTTTTTCCATTTCATCACCAACACTTGTGATCATCATGCTTTTAAATTTATGCCAACCTAGACATACGATGTAAATTAGGTTCCAATGCTGTTTTTTTTAAAACTATGAATAATTTAGCCCCACTAATTGAATAATTTGCTGTTCATTAATTCACAAGCCCTAACGACTATATATATATCCAAATTTTTTACATGTGTAGATGGTTCTGGGCTTTCTATTTTGATTATTCTATGAAAATATCAATGTCTTAATCACCATAGATTTATAATAAATCTCCATAAAAGTATTCATTTTTCACTATTAATATATACTCCCTCCAAAAGTGGTCTAATATTTAGCAATATAACCTTATGGTAAATCCTTAAGGATAAGTAGTTGTAAATTGTATACACATATTTGAGTTTTAAATGTGAAGGCTGGAGGGAATCCAAATATATGGAAGCAAATCTGCCAAAGCTGATGAAAGCAATGAATATCAGACCTTTATTTTCTTTGTCTGCTGAGACCACCTATAGAAGTTGACATTGTAATAAGATCAACATTTAAAACTCTGAAGTTTATGCTTTGGTTGGTGGGCGGACATGCAGTCAACTTACTTATTCACATACATGAAAATGACAAAGTAAGGCGTGCATATTTATTTTCAGTATTTGAAATTGCTAAGTGATCTTTCCAGAACCCATTCCTCATAATCGTGATGAGTGAGGTCCACTCATGGTGTCTCCTTGATATCACCATTCTAGTACAGGTCACACATGGTCAGCAGTATCAATTGCTCTCTGGAAAGAGAAATTATTATATCCGCTTCTCTCAAGCTGATACATTGCATGGTCCACGGCTTGGTGAACAGGACAGAAAGACCAAATTCATTCATTGTATCAATTGGCTTTGTGCAAGGTGCTACTTGAGAATGAAGGCCAGATCACACATCTGAGAAGATCATGTTCACCGCCATGTCTGGGGTAATGTACATGTGGAGACAAATTTGACCACAAACTACTCAATAAATGAAGGATCAAAAGACTTTTGTTTTACTCTTAGGAACACTTAAAGATGCTTTCCTACCTTCATCCAAAAAAGGTTTAAAATAAACTGTCATATCCCTTCCCCCAAAAAAAGTTGAGAGTGAAAAAAGTTAGGGTAATCCCTGCAACATTAGTGCAAGGATAGAGAAGAAGCCTTAAATGTGCATTAAAGATAGAAATGACCAACATGGAGCTTTTAAAGTGAGTGGCTTTAGACACCCACCCCTCATATTGAACAGGACATAGTCAACACAGTTCTGTGTCTTTATTGATCTCACAAGATACTTGGGCCTGGAAAGAAAGTAGATAACCTTCTTTCTCTGAAGTTGGGTGGAGAATGGAGTTTCTGATTCTTACCATGTATGATTCTTATAGTTGGGGGTAAGGAGAAGTGCTAGTGTTAAGTAATCCATTACCAGTGATTAAATTTGCCACCATTGGTACAATTATTGTAGCTTGTTGATGCCTAACCAGAGAGGTGATCTTGCTTGAAGAGAAAGAGAATGCTCATTTGACCCTTGAAAAACAAATGGATTACTTCTTTAGCAAGTTTTATACACATGGAGACTGTTGCAATCACAATAATGTACAACACCACTTTCCAGGTCTCAATGTGTTCCCTGAAATTCATACATTAAAACCCAGTCCCCAATGTGATGGTATTAGAAGGATTGGTTTTGAAAGGTGATTAGGTCATGAGGACTCCATTCTCATGAACTCAATTTGGCCCTTTATAAAAGAGACCCCTGGAGATGTTAGATAGCCTCTTCCACTGTGTATTGATGTGCTGAGATGTCCTCCCTAAACCAGGAAGCACTCTCTCACCAGATACCAGATCTTCTAACACCCTCACCTTGGACTTTCCAGTCTCCAGAAGACATTTTTGTGAGAAAGACATTTTTGTTATTTATATGCTACCAGTTTATGGTGTTTTTGTTATAATAGCACAATAGGACTAATGTACCCCTAAAATGGAGTACATATCTGGATCTTGGAGTATTTGGAATAAATTATGTTTCATAGTAATATATAAGATGTTTTATAGTAATATAGTAAGATTTCATCTCACTCCCGTCAGAATGGCCATCATCAAGAATACAGGCAACAATAAATGTTGGCGAGGATGTGGGGGAAAAGGTACACTCATACATTACTGGTGGGACTGCAAATTGGTCCAACCACTATGGAAAGTAGTATGGAGATTCCTCAGAAAACTTGGAATGGAACCATCATTTGACCCAGCTATCCCACTCCTCAGTTTTTACCCAAAGGACTTAAAAATCAGCACACTACTGTAATGCAGCCACATCAATGTTTATAGGAGCTCAATTCACAATAGCTAAACTAAGGAACCAACCTAGGTGTCCTTCAATAGATGAATAGATTTTAAAAAATGTATATGTACTCAATGGAATACAACTCAGCTTTAAAGAAGAGAGAAATTATGGCATTTGCCAGTAAATGGATGGAGTTGGAGAATATCATGCTAAGCGAAATAAGCCAATCCCCAAACACCAAAGGCTGAATGTCTTCTCTAATATGAGGATGCTAATTCACAATAAGGCTCTGGGCACTAGAGAAGAACAGCGTTACCTTAGATTAGGTAGAGGGAATTGAAGGGAGGAGAGGGAAGGGAATGTGGGGATAGGAAAGATAGTAGAATGAAACAGATGTTATTACTGTATGTGTGTATATATATATATATATATATATATATATATATATATATATGACTGCATGACCAATATGATTCTATAACATGTACACTCAGAAAAATGAGAAATTATATCCCATCTATGTATGATAGATCAAAGTGCATAAATGCATTCTGTTGTCATGTATAACTAATTAAAACAAATTAAAAAATTAATTAAAAAATATAGTAAATGTATGAACACATAAAAGAATGAAACCTGGTTCTCTATCACCTTGCTTACTTGGATTCGCCCATTATCATTGTCTTTTCTTACAAGATGTTACACTTCAAGTGAAAACTGCAAAACCTATCTAAAGAGAACTCCCCTGCAGTTTAATTTTCAAGATTTTATCAAGTTGTCTGCAGATATTTTGGCAGTTTCACAAGAAAAATTGATAAGAAAGAACTTTTTTATTGTGAGAAACATAAACTTCACAAAAGGGAAATATATGATATGTGTTTTTTTTTTTTTCCTTTAGAACATTCTTACTTTTTAATCATTGCATTTGGAAATCTGCCTAGGCCCCACAGGAGTTTCTTACTGGTTCGTCTTAGCTAAAATACCTTTCATGAAATATAGCTATCTGGCCACTAGTGACTTCATGATATTTGTTGTTACTGATATTCATTACATTTGCCTTTCTGTGGTCATATTATATTACGTTGAATCCCAAATGCACAG